CAGCGACTTTTCGGACCTATATTTTTCTCGCTTATTTCTCCATATGTAAGTTCGAGATTAATTTATATAATGAACTTACAAGGGGAGTTCGAGGTTGACTATTCACCGATTTTGATCTCCTTTGGTGTGTTGAATCTACATAAAAAAAAAAGTTGATCCATGTTCGAGGTTTTCGTCCAATGCGCCTTCTAAAAAAAATTTTTTTTCCTCGGATTTGAAGAAATTGCCAGGTTCGTTTTTAGGCTTAAAGAAAGATACACTTTCGATCTGTGCCGCTAGTCCAGTGGTAAAGCGCAAAAATAGTAATTCCGGGATCCCGCGTTTAGAACTTTGGGCTGCCATAATTTTTTATATTTTTTTAAATATTTTTTTATTATTTTATAACATGTATTATTTATTATGATAAATAAATATTTGGCATACTAATAATGTTAGAATAGAATGTATATTCTAACATTATTAGTATGCCGAATATTTATTTATTATAATAAATAATACATATTATATAAATATAAGTATATACAATAATAAAAAAATATAAAAAATTAAAAAAATTTTAAAAATTATGACAGCTCAAAGTCCTGAACCCGGGATTACTATTTTTGTGTTCTGCCACTGGACTAGCGGCACCGATCAAAAGCGTATCTTTCTTTAAGCCTGATAACAAACCTGGTAATTTCTCCAAATGCAAGGAAAAATTTTTTTTTTTTTAGAAGGCGCATTGGACGAAAAGCTCGAACACTCAATTTTTTTCGATATAGATTCACCACACCAAAGGAGATCAAAATCGGTGAAGAGTCAACCGCGACCTCCCTTTGTAAGCGAATAAACAGATAGAAAGCGGTAGGTCGGACTCGGTGGGCATGCCGGACGGCTTATTTGTTATATGTTGCTGAGTCTCAAACGTATCATCTTACTTTTCGGCGCCGCTATATTGCTCACTGTTCGCTGCATGACGCCGCCTCTCGATCAGATAATGCTTCTTTCCGCTTATTTGCTTAGATATTTTAATAAATAACTCAATAATTATTGCAAATATTGCAAAATGATACAGGACGTTTCTATTCAGTTTAACATGCTTTATCTGCCCATGAAAGGTGGGTCGCGAATTATTGAACACTATGTATAACATTTTTCATTAATATAATGCAAATTAACTAATAAAATTTTCAAAATAGTGTATGTTTAAGGTATAAATACTAATGAATGTGTATGTGTAAAGTGTAAATGCTAATAAACTATAAATATTAATAAGCTTAAAAATCTTGACTTTTGTATTTATCAAAATAGAATATGCAAAATAAAATAGATTATTCATTCAATTTGAATTAACATATTGCATGCGGTATCGAAGTTTAACGGATATTATGAGAATTTTGAATTTAAATAGGTCAAAATAGATATAATGCGACACAAATATTTTAATGCTGCAAAGCAACTTCTATTGCATTGCAAGAAAATGTACTTAAATAAATGTAGAATTTACATAAATCAAAGTTTAACGGATATTATGAAAATTTTGAATTTAAATAGGTCAAAATAGATATAATGCGACACAAATATTTTTATGCTGCAAAGCAGCTTCTATTGTATTGCAAGAAAATGTATTTAAATAAATGTAAGACTACTTCTATAAAAAAACTTACTTTTTTAAAAAAGGTAAAAAAGCGCCAAGTAAAAATATTATATAAAAAAAAACAATGTTATTTTTTAATTACTAAGAAATTGTCCCACAAAAAATTGTTCTACAAAATTCAGTTATATAAATTCTACAAATTATATATATTCTACAAATTATATATATTCTACAAAAGAATTATGACATCAAAAAACTGCGCCAAATAAATAAAAATTAAAGTATATAAACAAAGTTTTATTAATTTAAATATTTAAAAAAGCTACTCAGCCATATATTTTGTATTACTTTTACAGATTCTAATTTTGCAGATCTGATCTGAAAAATTTATCACAAAGTCACCTATGTATTTTTATGTATGATGTTATCATCTATGTAGTCAAAACGATTTAGATCTTGTATTAAAAATTGATGTCATTTTAATGTCTCGACCCGGGCTAAATTTTTCGTCCTTTTAATCTTTTCAATGTCAGGTCTAAATCGTTTTGACTATGCATCCTTCAAAATACAAAAGTGATTCTATATATCAAATCAAATAATAATTTGCAAAATTGATACAAGTTTATATTTGGCTGACAAGGAACGTTCGGTAAGTTGAAAATTTTAAAAATCTGAAACTCAGCACAATTTTAGGGTAATAAGTCTAATAACGAAATCATTTTTGTTAGTGCTAAAAATGGGTTTAGGGGTGCAACCAATCGTCAGAAAATCTGTTTTTACATTCCGAAGCGAATATTGTCGAGACGAATAGAAATATAAAAGATTTCAATGTTACACAAAAGTTTGGCTTCAAATGTACTTTACAATGGCGTATTTGGATTTTTTTTAAATGATACAATTTTTCAAACTACCCTTTTCCCACTCAATATTTTTTTATATTTTGAGAAAATTTTTAAATTATATATATTTTAAAGCTTATGTATTACGCCAAATTTAACTATATATGTATAAATATAATAAAGTTATGTTGCGGAAATTAGTTCTTGAGAAATAAAATCAAGACAAAATACGAAAGAAAAAAAAGTCTGTTACTGCTTGATTCATGGACATTATTTGGAACAATTAAAAGAATTTATTCCGGCAAACAAAGAAGTAAATATATATAATAAAAAATAAAATTTGGCTTGTGTAAAATTAAAATAAGTTATAAATTAAAAGGCCAACTTAACGAGCTAATTAATTAGGTGTTAACAATTTATTCTACGTCATGAAAATAATACAAATGATAATTATAGCGTTTTCGATTGGGAAAAAGTTAGTGCGCACCAGTGCGCACTCAGTTCACACGAACACTGGACAAGTTCCATGGGTTGCACTGAATAGTGCAGGTGAAAAAGAACACGCCGAAATTTTCAGTGCCACTTGAGTTGACTAGATTCCGGGAAGAACGAAAAAGTAACCTCGACATCTTGTGTTCAGTTAAGTAATGATTTTTATTATATGTAATTAAATATAGAAGATGATCAAGAATATCACGTATGACAAATATAAAAATTATTATTATCCAGTATAAAAATGCTATTACATTAAGTACATTAATTATATTTTAAAAAAGGGTATAGGTTCGATGTTTATATAAAAAGATATAACACTTACAGTGTCATTATCCATTTTTTTCACACATTCTACATAATTTACAGTTTTTGGAATTATTCTTCTAGTTCGAAGAGTTGTAATTATTTCTTCTTGCTCGCTTGAACTAGAAGAAGATTCCAAAAATGTCTCCAAAATATTAAAGAGAGCCAAATCCGAATTGCTCATTATGTCGAATTTTCGTTCAAAAGAATGCCCTACTGCTTGCATGCATCCAGTGCACTGAACTGGCACCGTCAAAATATCTCGTGCCACTTAGTGCGCACTGAATGCGCACTATGCGAGTGTTGTGCGTTCAAACAAACACGCAACACTAGCCAAGTGCGCATTGGCACTACCAATCGAACACGCGCCTGACATTCAGTGCAGCCAGTGCACCCCAATCGAAAACGCTATTAGTAAACGTTTCAACTGTACGACAGTCTTTATCAATACAAATATCGCTTTGCTAACATATCCATAAATTAAATAATTTGGAAAGACAGAACTTATCATACATGTAAAATATATAGACTTATAATATGAAAAAACGCAGTAGAACACATTATGTTTGCGCGTACGCGTGAAGGAGAGCGCGTATTTGAAGGCCGAAAAGAATTGATCACCCTTTAAAAAATAACACAGAGTTTACTTTAACACAGTTTAGACGATACAGTAATTTTACAAAAGTTCCAGTAGATAAGCCGAGATCGATTTCAAAGTGTGTGTGCGGTTAATAATTGCGGTAATTTCTAAGCGGTTTGACAGCGGTTGTACGTACTAAGATTCGAGAGACTAGCCCCGCAATTTTGGTGGGCGCTTCTTTTATCGGTGCGGTACTGAAGCCCCACTAATTTTTGCTTCACCAATTAATTTCGTTTGTTTAAAAATGTTCGAAGGTGACGCGAGGGCGCCTGTCTTTATTGGCCGCCCCGTAATTTGCGCGAAACAAGCACGCACCTGACATGCGCGAAACGCTCGATAGCGGGATCGATTGGCTTTCGGAAGCCACGTGATCGAACGGCGCATGTCTATTACATCGATAATCAATGCGGTAATCGTTGCTTTCGGTTGAGCAATGTTGTTATTATTGACAGCTTGTTAGGATAATCCTGATTTATCGCCTACTTGTTTATATCGGACGAGCCCTTTTTTCCGCGGTTTTTTTTCGCATATTCATGTAAGAAAATATCGATTTTTAGACTGAAATTATAGACTTAAACAATTATTAATTTTCTTCTCAATTTTGAACATTCCGCCCGCCTTGTCACCCGCTGACAATAAGTCGCTATGAATTCTCGATAGCGATTGATAGTGGGGTAGGCGCGCGCCGGCGCGGCGAGATACACGTGATTATCGCGTGGAATGTCGCTCGATCAGCTGAAACGATGAACACGTGTTGACAGCGTGGTGCGATCAGCTGAAAATAGTGAAACGCGTTTTCGATGTGAAATAATGTGCGTGAATGTAAAAAGTGGTTACAGTGCGTATGTGATGTGTAATCAAGTGCATAGCGAATGAACGTGAGCAAAGATGTGTGAGTGATGTGACGCGTCGTGCATTTCTGTCTATGCGTTGCGTGTCGTTACGTCCGTTGCGAAGTCGGAAAGTAAGACAATTTTTACAAGCGGACGCACGAGCTCGGAGGTCGCGGTTCGAACGGTGACCACGCGTACGATCCCGTCGTCGCCGGGATGCAGTTTTGTGATCCGGGCGAGAGGCCACCGGTTTGGAGGCGAAATCTCGGAGCGCACAAGGCAGAGTGCTCCGATGCGAGGTGTTGTCTCGACCTTCAGCCATTTAGGTCGTGAGGTGAGTCCATGGATGTATTCTCCCATCTCCGCCAAAAGTGGTCGCGCATTGCCTGGAGATGATGCCATCGTGATGCTGCGGATCCACGGTTGTCCTCCTGTACTGGCTCCGGGATGGCGAGAAGCGGCGCGCCGATCAGGAAGTGGCCCGGAGTCAGTGCTGTAACATCGTCTGGATCGTCAGAGAGTGCCTGTAATGGACGAGAATTTAAACAGGCCTCAATTTGTGTGAGGAGTGTGGTCAGTTCCTCAAAGGTGAGGGTGGTTTCACCTAACACCCTCCGTAAGTGATACTTAGCGGATTTGACGGCTGCTTCCCACAATCCGCCGAAGTGCGGAGCTGCTGGTGGATTAAAGTGCCACCGTATGCCGTGTTCAGCAGCTACGCGTGCAATTCCACGACCCTCTGTGGATGCAGTGACAAAGAGCTCACGTAAAGTGCGGTCAGCCCCGATGAAGGTCGTTCCACAGTCGCTATATATGTCCGTACAGAGACCTCGACGTGAGACAAAGCGACGTAAAGCGGCGATGAAGGCCTCTGAAGAGTAATCCGAGACAAGTTCGAGGTGGATGACTCTGGACCAAAAACATATGAATACTGCGATATAGCCCTTATAGGCGCGGTGTCCTCGTCCCTTGCTCGTCCGGATGAGGATGGGTCCTGCATAGTCCACTCCAGTGCGCAGAAATGGTCGAGTCGGAGTGACCCGATCGCGGGGTAGATTACCCATCGGTGGCTGAAGCGTCGTTGCTCGCCATCTTGTGCAGGTGACGCAACGATGTAGTTGTTGTTTTACGACTGTGCGTCCTCGTGGAATCCAGAAACGCAGTCGAAGCAGCCCCAGGGTGAGTTGCACTCCTCCATGCAGCGTCCGACGGTGACAGGATTCCACCAGCAGACGAGTCAGCCACGACGAGGTTGGAATGATCATCGAATGCCTCTTATCCTGTGTCAGCAGGGCGTTCTTAAGCCGACCTCCCACTCTCAGAACACCATGGTCGTCGAGGAACGAAGTCAGCTTGGCTAATGTGCTGCTTGGTGCGACGGAGCGTCCAGCTGCGACTGCGATGATCTCGTCCGTGAAATGCAGTGTCTGCACTTCTCGAAGCCAACGAAAGAGTGCCATGTCAAGTTCCTCCGGACTCAACGTTAATCCAGCAGTGTGAGTCGGCTCGGAAGCGCGCAGCCAGCGACGGCACCATGCAGATATCCGTAGCAGGCGATGCAGTGATAAGAAGCGGAGCAGGATTTCTGGCTCGATGATGACCCGGTTCACAGTCATCAAGCTCGTGGCTTTCCTTTCTGGCACGTCGTCTCCTCGGATCTCCATCTCGGAGTTTGGCCAGGCCGATTCGTTCTGTGATAACCAGGTAGGTCCTGTCCACCATAGAGCGTGATTGATCAGTTTGCTTGGATTAATACCCCTTGATGCACAGTCCGCAGGGTTGTCGTGACCAGCTACGTGTCTCCATTGTGCATTAGGCAGCTGCGTCTGGATGTGAGCGACTCGATTGGCGACGAAAGTCTTCCAGCGTGAAGAGTGACCGCGAATCCACTGGAGGGTCACTGTTGAATCAGACCATAAGTATGTGTCGGATGTTGCCAGGTCGAGCGTTTGTTTGACATGTCGCATCAAATTGGTGAGTAGCGTGGCGGCGCACAACTCCAGCCTCGGCAAGGTCACTTGTTTGACGGGTGCTACCTTGCTTTTGGCCATCAATAACCTTATTGACGTTTCGTTCCTTTCAGTGATGCGGATGTATACTGCGGCGGCATATCCTCGTTCGGATGCGTCGGCGAAGTCATGAAGCTGCAGAGTGGTCTTATCTGCTCTGGTCCCGAGCCAGCGTTTTATTTGCAACTGATCTAGAAGATGGAGTTCTTCTAGAAGACGTTGCCACTCTCGAGCTTCGGATGGCGGCAGCGGGGTGTCCCAGTCCAATCCTTGCAGCCACGTGGATTGAATGAGAATTTTTGCTCGAATCACGACTGGAGCGAGCCACCCTATTGGATCGAAGAGCCGTGCGGTTTGGATAAAACCGTTCTTTTCGTGTGATTGATGGCAGCGTGCGGATGAAACACGAAGGAGAACTGGTCGTGTTGCGGGTGCCAGCGGAGTCCTAGCGTGGCGTGGCTCTCTCCTTCCCAGGCTGGCGGTAATTGCTGCAAAAGATGATCGCTTGGTACTCCAGTCAGGATCCTCTCGTCGTTGGCTGCCTACTTCTTCAACGGAAATCCGCCCGCCAAGCAGAGGTTGCGAATTTTCGTCTAGAGTGCGATCGCATCGTTCAGCGTATTTGAGCCGGTGACCACATCGTCGACGTAACAGTCTCGACGCAGATCCACGGCGCCACGAGGAAACTGCTCTTCTTCGTCTGTTGCGAGCTGACGGAGTGTCCGTATGGCGAGAAACGGAGCACACGCCAGACCGTAGGTGACCGTTCTCAGCTGGTACTCTCGCACTTCATCATCAGTTGAATGACGCCACAGGATCGTTTGGAATTTGCAGTCATCCGGATGCACGAGTATTTGCCGATACATTTTTTCTATATCAGCAACGAAGACATACTGGTGTTGACGCCATCGAAGGAGTACGTTAGGAAGAGCTGGCAGAAGATTTGCTCCAGTCATGAGATGTGCATTTAATGAGTCTCCTGTTCGCGTTCGCTGCGATCCATTGAACACGACCCTCAGCTTCGTCGTGGCACTGGACTCCTTGAGTACTCCATGATGTGGTAAGTACGTTGACTGATTGCTAGTTGTGGAGCATGTCACCAGCGTCATATGTTTTAGGTCTTCGTATTCTTTCATAAAGTTGCGAAACAGGTTGCCGAATCGACGGTCCTGGACGCATCGCCTCTCCATCGTTGTAAAAAGCCGCTCAGCTGGTTTGCGGGTTTCGCGGAGTGCAGTGATTGGTGAGGAGAATGGCAGCTTTACCACATATCGTCCTGAAGGGGTGCGAGTGTGCGTGTGCACGAAGAATTCCTCGCATTGCTGCTCTTCGACGGAGAGTGTCGTGACTGCGTTGGTCTCCCGTTTCTGTTCCCAAAACTGTTGCACCAGCTCGAGTAGCTCGTGATCGGCAGTGCACTGGAATGTGCGACGGTGCTCTTCTGCGGATGCGACGTCGGAGCCTCCAGAGAGTATCCATCCTAGTGATATCTTCTGCGCAATTGGCATCTGAGGTCCACCCTTGCGTAGACCCTCTTCAAGAATTAAGGAGCACGCCTCCGCTCCCAGGAGTAGCTCGGCTGGATCGTTCTTGTGAAATTGAGGATCCGCCAGTTGAAGTCCTCGAATATGCGACCAATCTTGTAGTGTGCTGGACGTGGAGCCTTAAAGAAGTGATAGGCGTGGCAATATAAACGCTATCACAGAGAGCCGGGCGTTCGTGATGTCCGAAGTGAGGTGCAGCGTGACCTTGCCACGCGTTGACCCTGGTCGTGCGCCTCCGATCCCAAAGATGGCCATGTCGGTGCGTGATCGAGGCAGGTTCAATCGTTGCACCAGTGCTTCAGAAACGATCGACACCTTTGATCCCTGGTCGATCAGTGCTCGGACGTCGTGCGGTGCTCCATGGCGATCGGCTATGTTCACCCGAGCAGTGGCGAGAAGCACAGCCTTCTGTTCCTTGGCTTTGTGCAGTGCGGCGAGTGAAGTGGCTTCTGGTGTATGTGCGGTGACCGTGTTGTATGCGTCGTGCAGTGAAGTGTGATGACGTGCCTTGCATGTGTAGCAGTTCTTCTTCGACTGACATTTTGTGAGATAGTGATTTCCGAGGCAGTTGAAACACAGTCTGTGTCTCAACGAAGGCCTTTCGATCTGCAGCGAATTTCGTCTCGAATTCGCGACACGTCATCAGATGGTGCTTTTCATGGCACAGTGCGCATTGTGGAAGGTCAGTTCCGTGCTTCGCAACATGTGTCTTTGCCGTTCGTGAAGACTCTCCGAAGTTCTTCTTGAGAGTCTTCGGATGCACGGCGTTAAGTGTGAACATCCGTCGCGTCATGAAGTCCAAAAGTGTTTCGTGCTGTGGTAACTTGTTGGAGTCGGATATGGAATTCTCCCATTCCATCCGAGTGTGTGCGTCGAATTGTTCGACGATCAGATAGTTTAGGAGGTCCATTCCGTGAGATTCAATGGGACGACCTATACTTTTCTGTGCGTTGACGACTGTGACGGCAGCGTTATGGATGCGATGCAGTTCTTCAGCGGTTCCGTTCTTCATTCTCGGCACGGCGATGAATGCGGCGAAGTTGCATCGGATGAGTTCTCTCTCGTTTTCATAGTGTTTGCACAGTATTGTCCATGCACGTTCGTAGTTGTCTCCTGTCACCGGTAATGAGCTTATCAATTTTTCAGCCTGTCCGTTCAAACTCGACCGAAGATGATGCAGGCGTTCAATATTAGAGATGGTGGCGTTATCACCGACGACAGACAGGAAGAGATCTCGGAAGGTTGGCCACTCGGAGTAAGCTCCCGAAAACTGCGGAATCCTGACCCGAGGTAATGCGGTTCGAGGAGCGGCTTCGTTTAACTTGACTGTCTCCGAGGCTGACCGAATGCGTTCAGCGTAGCCGTCCAGGATGCTCCTTTGCTGTACGTACGTATTTTCAATCAAATCATGGAGTCCTGAAGTAACGTAATCACTTTCCCTAAACTTATCTTTCAGGGCAATGCGCAGCTGATCGTGCTGGATTACGAACTTATCCCAGGCTTGATCGAGAAGTCTGATGCGGGTAGTGATGGCACTGGATGTGATGTTAGGAGCGCCCATCTTCTTCAGGTATTCGACAGAGCGTGAGATTCGAACTTGGATCTCACGCTATCTAATAATATAGCGGCATCCATGATGTGACACCCACTGTATTTCTTTTTCAGGCACTTCACTCTCGTCTTCAAGAACGTGCCGGCGCGACGAACTGATAATCCGGCTCGAAGGACCAAAAATATGTTTGCGCGTACGCGTGAAGGAGAGCGCGTATTTGAAGGCCGAAAAGAATTGATCACCCTTTAAAAAATAACACAGAGTTTACTTTAACACAGTTTAGACGATACAGTAATTTTACAAAAGTTCCAGTAGATAAGCCGAGATCGATTTCAAAGTGTGTGTGCGGTTAATAATTGCGGTAATTTCTAAGCGGTTTGACAGCGGTTGTACGTACTAAGATTCGAGAGACTAGCCCCGCAATTTTGGTGGGCGCTTCTTTTATCGGTGCGATACTGAAGCCCCACTAATTTTTGCTTCACCAATTAATTTCGTTTGTTTAAAAATGTTCGAAGGTGACGTGAGGGCGCCTGTCTTTATTGGCCGCCCCGTAATTTGCGCGAAACAAGCACGCACCTGACATGCGCGAAACGCTCGATAGCGGGATCGATTGGCTTTCGGAAGCCACGTGATCGAACGGCGCATGTCTATTACATCGATAATCAATGCGGTAATCGTTGCTTTCGGTTGAGCAATGTTGTTATTATTGACAGCTTGTTAGGATAATCCTGATTTATCGCCTACTTGTTTATATCGGACGAGCCCTTTTTTCCGCGGTTTTTTTTCGCATATTCATGTAAGAAAATATCGATTTTTAGACTGAAATTATAGACTTAAACAATTATTAATTTTCTTCTCAATTTTGAACACCTTATAATTGTTGGCTTGAATTACGGCTGATCGTTCGAATTAGTCGTTAAAGAGCCTAATCCCGAACATCAAATTTCTGTAGTTCTTTTTAAATAAACGTCTAATTTTGTAATCCATGATGTAATAATGATATGTAATAAGCTGTGAAATAATTAATGTGTTAGCCTGAATATTAAATATTTGATTTTTAAATAAATAGTGATCACTTACATCTATGTCGAGACGATAAAAATTCTTTAAAATATTTCTTGTTGAAAAACATTATAAACAATGTATACTTTATAAGAAACAAACTCAATATCTGTAAATTACAATGTCAGAACGCTGTATATATATCGCCATGCTAAGATGACATAGACAATTTTTTTAAAACATCAAAATACGAACCGTCAAAACGCTCGGTGTCCTTTTTTAAGTTGATACTGTTTTTTTTCTTCTTTAATGTATATCATTTCCGATATCAACCTTTTATAATAATTCCTTTCGTGATCCAAGATTTTTGTGTTGTTTCAATTAAAAGTATGTGTAAACTTTACAATATGATCAGAAATCACCGAGTGTCTTGCAGAATCCAATCTGATATTATTTTTATGTTCATTTACTCTTGTGCCTAATTGTCTTTTAGTTTGCCCTACATATGTAGCATCACAATTATTGCACGATATTTTATATATGACACCCGAATTATTCTGACGATTATCTCTGTCTTTTTGTGTTTTTATGACTCTATTTAATTTTTTCAAACTTCTGTATTTTACTGTTATATTAGATTTCTTTAACTCTGATGCTACTAATTCCGAGATTCTTTCAATGTATGGTATCGCTATAAATTTTTTATTGTTGTCATTATTTATGTCATTGTTATTCGTATTATGAGTCATTTCGGTGTTTAATCTATTAACTATGAGAAACTTCAGTCTTCTATTAATTTCTAAGAAAATGAGATCGAGAGGATAACTATTACTTAATAAAATCTCTATAATTAATGTTAAATTTTTACTGTGAAAAATAGAATGTGATAATAGTAATGATCGGTCGACTAGATTATATATGACACTTTTATTATGATACATAGGATGATTTGAATAATATGAAAGTGTTCTACCCGAAAATGTTTTTTTCTGAAACCAATCAATGTGAATTATGTTATTTATAATTTTGAGTGAAATGTTCAAAAAACTTATGCAACGGTTGTCCTCTCGTTCTATTGTAAATTTTAGTCTATCGTGATAATCATTAAATTTTTCAACTAAATATGAGACCTGATCCTCCGGCATGCAAACTAAAATGTCATAGCGATAGTAAAATCTTACATTTGCATTAATTTTATCAAGTATCGTAATTTTTAAATCTTGCATAACAATATCTGCTATGATTGGAGATCTCATAGGGGTTCCATAAATTTGTTTATAAATAGTATTATTAAATGTAAAGAAAGTTGAAGTTAAAATAAATATAATAGCATTAACAAATTCATTTTTGCCAATTAATGTGTGGTTTTCAATATAATGCCACCTGTTATTTATACTGTCTATTGCAAGGTCCAGAGGTACATTCGTGAACAACGATATTACATCCAATGATACAATTATTTCATTGTTGTTTAATTTAAGATTAGATAATGTGTTACATAATTCAAAACTATTATTCACATGACTATTTGTTTTAGGTAAACTTATCATTAAAATATTGTGTAAATGTGTAGCTAAATGGTGTAATGCTGTGTTAACTGATGAAACTATTAATCTGAGTGGAACATTTTCTTTATGAATTTTAGGCAAGCCGTATGCTTTGGGAAGCAGTGAATCACTAGAACTTACAAAATAATATTCTTTTTTAGTGATCTAATCATTTTTCAACCATTGTTTTAAATTCTTATTTAGATCTTTTTCTATTTTTACTATTGGATTGTTTTTAATTATTGTGTAATTACATTTGTCTTTTAATTATTCCTTAACTTTACATACATAAAATTCTTTGGTCATCGCTACGGTCGTGTTTTCCTTGTCTGCTTTTGTGAAAATAATATTCGGATTTTGTTGACAGAATTTTATAGTTTTTTTTATACATAAAAGTAAGTTTGTCATGTATCATGTTTGTTTTGGTATTATTATTTAAAAAAACAGAGAACTGTGGAATGGCAATATTCCTTATTTTCGTGAGATTAATTATGTTATTAGAATTACTTTCTATGTCCTTAATGAATTCATGGATAGCTATTTTTTTATCAAATTACGATTTTTTACGAGTTATAATTTTTATCTAATTTTTACAGCGTTTCGCTGGAGTCTCGTGTGGTTCGTATACTTGGAAAACGATACGCATTGACGGCCACGGAATTCAAATTCCTCGAAATCGGCATCAGAGTGGATCCGCCGAGTTACGTGGAGATCGCCATAGGAGATCATCGAGGAAAACAGCTAATACTATCTCTCGAAACGTGGAAAGGACTCTACGAGCAACGTCACGCTATTCACAATTATCTGAACAATGACTCTCCCAGCAACGATGTGTATAATTTCATAAGTGTCGAGCCGCTAACAGTACGTTTTCACAAGATAAACGACAACAAGCTCATAAGTCTCGAATCGGCGGACGTGCGCATGATGATGGTCGAATCGACGTTACGTCGTATGTTCGAGCTCGATTCATGCATCGAAATAATGTTCGATCGATTGACGAGGCTCATCGCAACGGTCGATATCAAACATACGCAATTCTCCAATATTGCCAATATCCACTGTAACGAATGCGAGAGAATTGTCGAATGCGATACGCGCTAGCAACGCCTTCGACATGCACCAACTTGTCGATTGCGAGCTGGTGGCTTTAGTTTTTAATATGTAATAAAACTTTATATATAATTATGTATTAAATATAAGACAAATAAATACTTATATGTATATATCATGGTATACTTTATTTGCGCGCCACCCGTTACATACTTTGCGAGAGATAATTATCGTGTCAAGGACATTGAAGCCTGCTTTCAGCGAGAAAAAATCGATATTATTATCTTACGAGATAAGACGGGCCGCATCCATGCGGCGGCAGAATCGATAATTTTATCTTACGAGGCGCACGCGACATTAAGAGACAGAAGACGCACGCATTTGAGAGAGAAGACGCAGCGCGCGAGAGTAAGAGAGACGCACGCATTCGAGAGAGAAGACGCAGCGCGCGAGAGTAAGAGAGACGCACGCATTTGAGAGAGAAGACGCAGCGCGCGGCGGTATACGCGCTCTTCCGTCGGAGCGAGAGAGAGGCAACGCGCAGCTCGGGATTCAGCGGCGAGAGCGATGCTGTGGCGAGAGAGTCGACGGTTCGTGGCGAGAGAGTCGGTGGCTCGCGTCGAGAGAGATTCGGCGGGAGAGGGATGCGAAGGAGAGGAGGGGAAACATTTTTTTTTAATTTAATAAAATATATATTTTATTCAATATTTTTTTTTATTCGTTATTTTTTTTCATTTTTTTTCATTATTTTTTTATACATATTTTTTGTACATTTTTTTTTTTTTTTTTTTTTGTACATTATTTTTTTCATTATTTTTTAAATTATTTTTTGTACATTTTTTTTCATTTTTTTTTCATTTTTTTTATACATATTTCTTGTACATTTTTTTTTTTTTTTTATAATTTTTGTACATTATTTTTTGTACATATTTTTGTACATTTTTTTTTATACATATTTTTTGTACATTTTTTTTTTATTATTTTTTATACATATTTTTTATAAGGATATCGAGGGAGGGAAACAGTTTTAAATTAATAAAGGTTTTGTATATTAATAAAATATATATTTTTATTCTTAATTATTACATTACCGCCGGCATTGGCATTACCCGAGGTGTACCACGTGGAGGTTGCCGGTCGGATTTACACCTCATATGTATGTGTATGTGCGTGTGTGTGTGTGTGTGCGTGTGTACTTGTACATGTGTTACAGTAGAGATAAGGACCCTACGGTTCGTCACTTCCGTGGTATTTACCGACTCCAAACCCTCTCTACTGTGTGTGTAAATAAAAAATAAAAAAATAATATAAGTAAAATATAAAACAATATAAAATAAAAAATATAAACAATATAAAAATAAAAATAAAATATAAAATATAAAATATAAAATATAAAATATAAAATATAAAATATAAAATATAAAAAAATATAAAAATATAAAAATATAAAAAATATAAAAAATATAAAATAATTCTTATGTACGGTGACGGCGAGAGTGAACGGAGAGAGCCGACGTGAGAGAGAGAGAGCCAGCGCGTTGCATGGATCCGACGACTGCGAGAGAGAGGGTCGCATCACCCATCGCTGTCATCAGACTCGGCATCTGTGCATAGAAATATATTAAATTAAAAATATAGCCATTTTTTTGACTTATATATATACTCACGTCCTTGACAGGTGGGACATGCGTTGGCCAGGTAGAATACGTATAATCTCCCCTGGCAATCGGTGCAACGCAGTTGTGGTGCGTCAACATAACGCGATGTCGTGTGGCTCTCGATGGTCGTGATCGAGATGAATCTGCCCCTGTTTCTCATAAAACAGGGCATACAGATTCGCACTGACCCCCATAGTGCGACGTATGGCATGACATACGACGTTACAGTGCATACCCTCGTGTGTTCGTCGAGGGATGCAACTGCTCGTATGTCAAACATGTGCGAGTGGCACGACTCCCGAACAGCGTTTTCGCTATCGTACCCATCGTCGTGCAAATCTTCTTCTTCTTCTTCTTTATCATCATCATCATCATCATCATCATCATCATCATTATCATCATCATCATCCTCTTCTTGATCTTCATCGACGATGGGTACGATATCGACCTCCATCTCCTCAATATCGTCTAGTACGATATTCACATCCCTGTCATAGTCGGGGTCGTACATTGCCACATCGCTGTCGCTGTCGCTGTCGTCGGAGATTGTTATTATCTCAATCTCGTCGTCTGAGATTGTGATCATCTCCATCTCATCGTCTGAGATCGTGATCATCTCATTGTCGCTCTCACTCTTACGCGCTGCGTTCTCCATTTTTATTGCAAAAACTATTCACTCGCTCACTACTATGCTCGCAAATGTCACCGTACTATGACCCGGCAGTGGCATCGGTCCTCATTATATACCCCGATCATCCCTTTGTTCTTCAACGTATGATGCAATTATCTCCGAAAGATTTGCTATTATCTCCGAAAGATGATTTTCACCGAAACAAAAATAGCGGCTGTTGACTATCGACATGTTTACACCTTCCGCGAAGTCAAATACATATCTACTCTCAGAAACGTTGACATACTCTTCACATATGTTGTACACCTATTTAATCAGACAAATAAATAGGTTGCAACAAGTAATCTGACGATGATGATGATGATGATGACGACGATGGTGATGGCCTTGGTTCTCTCCTATCTGACTCCTCTATTTCTTGGTCCAAATTATAATCAGATGATTGTGTTTTGCATGACACCGATGGTGAAGGCATATCCATGTCGGCAAAATAAAGGTTGTCCACAGTAAAATATTCTGCACAATTTTTGTAGCGACGCTGATAACATGCGACTCGCTTGTGTCGTTTAGACGATCTGGTGCATTTGGATAACCCACCAGTCACTCTTAAAATGTCTTCGTGCATTTCCAGGAAATAGGCAACATCTCTTGTATGCGGTTTTTGCACACCAAGTTCGCGATTTCTTACGAATTGCACAACCGAAGTCACCGCTTCACGTTTAAAATGAAACGGGTCATCTTTTTTTTTATCATAATAGCATTCATCGAGATGTCTATACCATCTCTCAACATTCTCAAAACACCTCGAATGATCTTTTACCGCGTTCTCCATTTTTTATGTCTGGCACTTATTCGCACTGTATTACGCTTGTAACCTTAGCCTATTTTCGCTGACATTCGCTGCAAAATGTTTTACGAAATATCCGCACTTTTGCAGTAAAACAATCTTCGGAATATATTGTAACTGTTCGGCACTTAAACTGAGAATATCGGAAGCACTTGATAGTATTACAAACATTCTGCACCCCGAATGAAGAGAGCGTGCGCTCGCCAGTGGTACTATGACCCGGCAGCTGCATCGGTCCTCATTATATATCCCGATCATCCCTTTGTTCTTTAACGTATAATGCAATTGTTAATTCGCGAGAAATATTTGCGCTATCTTATCTTGGATTCGAAAACTTAGATATCGCTGATAATTCTTAGAAATTCATAGATAAAGCCGCCATTCCATTTCACCCCGTCGCAAGACACGTCACAACCAGCGAAGACATGTCGCAACCTGTGAAGCCTGCGTTCACCCCCGCTGATATTTCTTAGAAATATACGTATCAACCCGCTTGATTGTCGGCGCTCGATCCATGCGGCAGCCATTCGCAGAATTTTTATCTTATCTTGAGGTAATACATATCTATTTGTCGGCGCTCGATCCAAGCTTGGATTTTGCGGCAGCCCTTCGTAGAATTTATCTTATCTGTAAACTTTGATACCTTACAAAGACGCCGCTTATCTTGGATTCGAAAACTTAGCTTATCTTATCGGCAAACTTTGATACCTTACAAAGACGCCGCTTATCTTATCTTGGATTTTCTACGAAAACTTAGATATCGCTCAAGCTTATCTTATCTTGTTTATGAAACCTTAGATATCGCTCAAAGACGCCGCTTATCTTGTTTATGAAAACTTAGATATCGCTCAAAAACGCCGCTTATCTTATCTTGTAACAGATATCCGCTTATCTTGTTTATAAACATATCAGGTAACATGATCCCTTATCAGGTAACCTGAGCTGATAAGATAAGCTTATCTGCTGATAAGACCTCCTCCCCCGCGTGACGTCACCCCCCCTCGCCCCCGATTCCCCCTCCCCCCGCCCCGCACCCCCCCTCATTGCCCCCGGGTTAGAACCTCCATAGTATTCCTACTAGAGTTCTTGACTTTTTTGTTCCACTTCTTCAAAACTCTACTGCATTTCTTTTATATTCTATTGGTACAGAATCCGCAACACATTCAATTTCTTTTACAAAATATGTGTCATCTTCTCTTTCTTCATCAATTACAGGTTCTACTTTAGGTATATCAAATTCGTTTTGAAAATCTAATGATGATTCTTCATAAACTTCAAACGCTTCTTCATACATTGATTGAAGTATATTTTTCATCGTGTCTTTTATTTCACTTTCATCTGTTGTAACAGGACTTTCTGGGAATTCCCCAGTCATATACAGTGCAGTGTATAGCAGTACTGCTACATTTCTTGGATTAAACATTATCTAAAAAAATTATTAACATTATGTATATTTGTTTCATAAATATTAGCAAAAAAATACTTATTAGAAACAAAAATATTTTATTATTTAATGCGTATTAATAATTTGTTATGTTTTCCGAGTTTCATGAAAAATAGAACACTGTTTATCACATAATTTATAATAACTTAAATAAAGTAATAAAATATTAATTATAATTTAAATACATTAAAACAAAACAGATAAACCGCAATTTTGAATAAAGTGTAAGTAAAAGCAAAAAACTATAAAAGTTTTAAAAATCGAAAAAGTACATACATACTGTATTGTTGTGTGCGTGGGCACAATTGTTTTTTCAGGATAACGGCTAGTCTTGTTAATTAACTCGAGCACTTGTTAATTATTTGATAACTGATTTGTGACTGTCCGCCGCTCTAGGCGGTGGTTTTTAACGCCTCCGGTTCTGAACGATTATCGGAGGGGGATCGCGCGGTGGCATGACCAAATAAAATCATCAGTTATTTCTAAAGTGGCGTGATCAAAATGCAAGCGAAGGAAGTCCGAAGACTTCCTTCCTCGCATTTTATTGCAATTCAGCGCTATTTCGAGAGTGATTTTTCGCTCTGTTTGATGACTTGGCCGTGTGATACTGGCTGTATCAGCACTTCGGGCAGCTGACTTTGTTATCGCGACGCATTTTTTCGCTCGTTTTATAAGTTATAATTCTTTTAATTATTTTATTATATATATAAATATATTTACTATCGCGCTCGCGTATATTCGATAGACGCTTTAATAGTAATATGTGTTCCACTGCATGCAGTTGTTAATAAAATAATATATTGCACCAACTCATTTCGCGAATGCAAGATCTATTTATTCATAGAATTGGATCTATTAACCTCGGCATCTGATCAATAATTTTCCTTGTCCGACTAGTTTTATTTTTCATGCATTAAAAACATTACTTTTCCATATAAATTATATGTATATTTATTGTCACATAATATATATATTATAATTATATATATTATATAATTATAAATTATATTTATAAATATAATTTCTATAATTTATAAAAATATATTCTCATAAATTATTTATTGCTAATTTATGGTTGCCTCTGTGAGTTTGCGAAAAAAAATAACTGTCGCTGTGAATAACGAGCGTCATGAGGCGGATAAAGCGGGCGTATAGTAGTGTATATTTTTAATTTATTTCTGAAAAATGTGACTTCGGAATACAACTTTATTATATATGATTGAATTTGTCGTTAAATGAGCTATAAGTTTTGTTATAAGACAAATTTAAAAATTTTCAAACATTGAAAGGGAGAAGGGGGAATTTCGAAAAATATGACATTTTCGACAAATCTGATTACATGATTTTGAAGTACATTAAAGACCATAAAACTTTTATTTAAAACTTTTGTTTATATCTCTTATCGCTTCGACGGTATTCGCTGAGAAATAAAAAAATTGATTTTTTTCAAAAAGGTGTTTCACCCCCTTAACGACCGACTTAGCACTTATAAAAAAATACGTGTCTCCTATTTTGATCTAGACTACAACATATTCAAAGCTCATTAAAATCGGAGGGGGACACTTCCGACCCTTTCCAAGTAAAAATAAAAATTTTAAAATATTTTAATTTTATTTTTTAATTAACCAAAAAGGTTATTTTTTTATTAACCATAAAGGTTGCTCACACTTTTAATTGCAAGATCTATCGGAATGTTAGTGAAGAGTGAAACCACGTCTAACGATATTAGAATATCTTCCGTACTAATTTTCTTACCCGCTAGCTTGCTATATAATTCAAAACTGTTATTTACATTACTTTTAATCGTAGGAATACTATTTGATATGATTTTATGTAAAAATATGGCAATCGAGAGTATAGCGTGGTATTAATTGATGACACAATAATTCTAAATGGAGTATTCTCCTTATGTATTTTTGGGAGACCATAACATTTTGGAAGAAGGGAGCAATAGATGGAATGATATTAATACACATACATTAATTCCAAAAAATGAATTTATTTCTATGGTTAAATTTATATTGTCGTCAACATATTTCACATTTAATGACATTGTTTACAAGCAAGTTTATGGCACGCCTATGGGTTCCCCATTATCGCCAATAATTGCTAATATTGTTATGCAAGATCTAGAAGAATCGATAATCAACACATTGGATTTTGATATCGGAATGTATTATAGATATGTAGATGAAATTAATAGAAGCATAAATTTTTTAGATTTAAACATTAAAATTATTGATAACGTCATACACATGGACTGGTTTTAAAAAAAGACTTGTTCAGGTAAAGTATCTTTCTTATCGAATCACCCCATGTGCTACAAAATAGGAGTGATTTATAATCTCATTGATAGAGCATTGTTATTATCTCATCCCATATATCACAAGAAAAATTTAGAACTTTGTATTGAAATATTATTGGATAACGGTTACCCTATTCATTTAATTTTTAAAGAAATTAATAGGAGAATAAAAGTATTAAACAATTTGCAGTTTAACAATAATAGAACAAAATAAATTACAGAGGGAAATAATAAGAAATTTTTTGTCATCCCCTATATTAATATCATCTCTGAAACAGTGGCATCGACAATTAAAAAATCAGAGTTCAGAGTGGGGTACCGTTGTCTAAATAATCTTAACAAATTCATTAGAGTTCACAAGGACAAAAACGTGCATAATAATAATAATAGTGTCGTCTACAAAATTAATTGTAAAAACTGTAAAGCTTCGTATGTTGGGCAAACCAAAAGAAAATTACGTACTAGACTAAAGGAGCATATAAATAACATTAAATTTGATTCTTCCAAGCATTCGGTGGTCTCTGAACATATTGTAGATAAAAAACATGCTTTTGATTGGGATAACGTTAAAATACTTGATATCGAATCTTACTATTATAAAAGACTTATCTCGGAGATGATACACATAAAGGAACAAAAGCATGGTATAAATAATAATACAAACACCGAATTGCTCAACAACGCTTATTTTGACATTCTAGAAGAAATAGCGAATTTTTAGACTTATTAAAATGTTTATGTTTTGCGACTTGACACCTATTTATTCAACTTTTTAAATGACTTGACATCAGTCAAGTACTAAGTTCAACAACAATTAGAGGCATTGTCATCTCAATTTATTCGGAACAATTGTAAGCAACAAGTAACTAATTTTTAATTTTTAATTTTTAATTTTTACATATACATAAGTAGATTTCTATTTTATAATATAAAATTTCTTTTTAAATTCAGTTTATAATATCAAATATTAAATAACTTGGAGAGGATGGACATGATCATTGCCAGACTGATAGTCTTTCGCCGACTAACGATGAGTGATTGGTTTGGAGTAATGTTTAAGTGCCACTCTGAGGTTTGAATAATAATTTTAAAATATTTATTGATTAGCCGGATAAATTATTTTAATTCGATTTTTGCTTCTAATTGGGACTTCTCGTGTTGAACTATTTTTAATAATTTCAATATATTGTTAACGTATTTCGCCTTTTAATTTTGACATAATTATCTAATTTATTTTGACTTTGTATTGCGACTTTTTATTAGAATTTTTATTTATTATTATTGTTTCATTGCGCACTGAAAAAGACTAAGTATAGTTCGAAACGTTTGTAATTGGTTTTTTTTTAAATTAAAATTTTTTCCAAGTTTTATAATAATTTTTTATTGCTTGTTTCACATGGCCTCGTAATATTTAATAAGTTATCATTGTGTTTGTTTACATACGAGCTTGAGCATTGTTACAGATTAGGTGATTTTGTATTATTTTTACATAATTGCTAATTTAAATAATTATTGATGTATTTATTATTTTACATAATTACTAACCTTGTTACTTATTAAACGATTGATATTGAAAATACTTAAAAATTTTATTAAATAAATTATTATCAAACTTTATTATAATATCCTTTTATTATCAGTTAATAATATTCATTATTACGGTAGTAAGTACTAACTAATTATACATTTTAATTATTAAAATACTTCCCAATCTCCGTATTCCATCTGTTATCCTGTCCTCGCGCGTTCTTCCCCTACTCCTGACCACGCGTGTTCTACCGCTCGGCCCCGCTTGCTCAGGTTTCCTCCACTATGCATACTCGTGAACGCGCGTAAACGCGCAGAATTTGAAGCCCAGGACGTGACAATATACTACAACTGGAAACTCACCATTTCTTAGAGTGCAAATATTATGGAGAACGCAACAAGCTAATATAATTTGTATTTTTTTTTATATCAGTCAGGAGTAAGCAATCTAACAAAATACGGAACCCTTAATAATCCAAACGCTCGCTCTATGGCCATCCTGGTTGATAACAAACAAAAGTTATAATTTTTTTGAAGTGCTGTGAGATGGCCATTATCTTTAAATAGAACCATTAAATGCGGAAAAATTGCATATGCAGAATCTGCTATAATGAGTATCGAAAGGAAAGTATTCATTTGGCATTTCAATGTAATTCTGCAAATGCAGAATTTCTCAACACTCTTGCATCATGTACTGAGCCGACATGTCCTGCATAGCAGTGAATAAAAACTGTTTTTGCATTACATACCGCTTGCAAGTGAATCACATGAAATTGTTTCCTGCATATGTATGAAGCAGGATTTTCCTTTGAAGCTCTAATTCTAATATATGATCTATCAAGGGCTCCGATTACATTAGGAAAACCTTGCTTTCGCAAATTCTTCAATAGTACGGTGTAGCACTTCATTTTTTGGCCACTGAATGAATCTTGGTGCAAAACAATGCAAGGCATAAGTTACCCTTCTTACTGCTCTGAATGCTGTTGCTTTTCCAACACCAAATTGGACATGTATTGATCTGCGAAAATAAATATATATGCTACACAACTCTACATTTAAAAATAACAAAAAAACTGCATTCTGATATTGCCAAAACTGAAAATCTATAGTGTATGTATGTATATGACGTAAATTATAGATTTTCAGTAATAGCAGTGAATATTAAAATAGTCATTATATTATTATTTTATTAGAGTATAAGAATAAAAGTAAATACCTATAAGAATCTGGAGTAGCTAAAAACTATAATGTTATTAATAATTGTTTTTCTGCCGATATTTGTTTTCTTCCTGTTGTATTTGTTAGAGTTAAAGCTGGCTCAATCAATTGCATAATCATTTCAAACGTTTCAGGAAACATCCTGCACACAAATAAACAATTTAAAGTTTACTATTTTATAAAAATTGCAATTAATTACTATATTTGCTATTTATTTTCTTTCATAATTAAACAGAATTTATATTTTTTTAAATGGTAATGATGAAAGTGCACTTTCAAATGATGAAAAACAAATTCAAACTTACAAAATATAAATAATTTTTTGTGCAATCATATTAAACTTTATCTGGTGTTCCTTG